CTCGTCTAATAGAGCAGCCGTAGAAATTCTCCAGTCGATCTAAAATCATTAGCATGGGCGACTTCAACGCACCAGGAATTACCTAGAACATTGTTTAAGCGTCAGGGCAAAAATTGAATTTCGACTGCTGTTTGCTGCGGAAAACATTAAAGGAGCTCCCCACACAAGATGCAATGTTTCCAACGAGAAAACGTGAAGGACAAATGGCTAACTACCTGGATTTAACTTTTACGAAACCACCAGACAGCATAGGCGAAGTCATGTATAGGCCTCCCCTCGGCCGAACTGACCATGAATTGCCTATGTGACATTATTCGTTATGCTACGTTTTGCATACTCTTGATTAAAAAACGTAATATTTGTCTGGGCGACTTCAATTCAATTCAATTATTTTATTAAAGACCCGTCGGGGTCCCATCAAAGCAAATGCGATGAGGGCAGATTTATCCACTCCTGACTGGAGATCGATGTTTATGGGTAATGCCGACGATGACTTGGAGTTGCTCGAGAATGTCCTTCTGCAACTCATCAATAACCATTACCTACTGACGAGTACCGGGCATAACAAGCGGCCTGGACGGCAACCTAAAGAAGCAAATTTACAAGAGACATAAATTGTGGAGGAAATATTGTGTCATTGGGCAAGTTGAATATTTCTATACCTACAAGAAACAAATAAACGGACTGAGGAGCGTAATTACGAAAACCCGCCAGAATTCGAGAAGGACTGGCTATGAAAATCAAAGAATAACTCAACAGCCATCAAATCCGCTTAATAAGGACTACCGATGGCATTGAGGTTGCTGATAGCAAGGATAGAGCTGCGTATTTTTCACAGTTTTCCCGATCAGTCTACACCTACAAAGCAGGGCTCCTTCCACCCTCCACAGAAGAACTGCTGACCCCAAGCATAAATGATCTAATCCTTTCAAACTACCGTATCCAACAAAACGAATTCTCCAGGACCAGGCGAAATTCCACTTAAGCTTCCCAAAGAACTTGCCAGTGAGCTTTCTTTACCTCTGTCGAAGACCTTTCAAGTGTCATTTGATGTCGGAACACTCCCTATCCATTAGAAGCTGGCGCATATAACTTCACTGTACGACGGTGGTAGCGGAGCATCGAAGGCAAATTATAGGCCCCTATGCAAACTTATGGAGAGGATGATTAAGAAAGAATTGGTGCAATTCCTGGAAGTTCATGACTTCCTATCGAACTACCGACACGAGTTCCGGAAAGGAAGATCCTGTACGACAAACCTGCTGCAATCTCTCCTGAGCTGGACGCGAGATGTCGACGACGGGCACTCCATCATACATGCTGACGATGTTAAGCTGTGGAGAACCATCAGATCTGGCGCAGACAGGCGCGCATTTCAAGACAGTCTCAACCGCCTGAGCAGTTGGGCAGCTTGTTGGCTCCTCAATTACAGTGTGAACGAATGTGTGGTCCTGAGACTCTGCACCAAATAGACCAGTAAGGAGGCTGATTTCCCTTAACACGTCCTTTACGGGCAGCCCGCTTCAAATGTTTTGGAACAGAAATACCTCGACACCCTAACGACCTCCTCGCTGAAACCATCGTCAGAGTATCAAAAGGCAACCAACGGGCGATACGGGGATTATTTGCACTGAGGCGAGGATTTGTGCAGATCGATAAAAGATTGTTCAGAAAAACCTACGGGGCCTTCGTTCGGTCTTACTTAGAATATGCAGTTCAGACCTAGCGACCGTCATTGAAGAAGGATTGTCAACAACTGGAAAGAGTACAGGCGAGGGTTACGAAGATGTATTAGAATCTTGATCCTCTTACGAAACCAGACTAGCTGAACTAAATCTGCTTCCTCTGAGTCATAAGCAACTGCGCGGCGATTTCATCCAAACCTACCGGATTGTCAGAGGCCATGAGTATGCCCTAGACTTTGACGAATTCTTCCAGTTGGACCCTCTGCGTGGTCATACCTTTAAACTGCAGAGGAAGCTGGCTCACACAGACGTCCGACGGAACGTCTTCTTACAGAGGGTCGTTGGAGCATGCAACGGACTCCCTGACGCAGTGGTTCTTACGGAAACTGTCGAATCCTTTGAATGCAGGCTAGACGCTCATTTTCTTTGGAACCACTGTACATATAATCATGATTGTTTTAGTGACGGCAGTTTGTGCCTGGCACACACTTGCCGTTAACTTTTTCATTTTCGGATTTTCTGATGTAAAAATTAATCCTATTTCCATTTATTGATATAAATAGGGAAATCAAGGGCGAAAACTCATCCCCTTTTGCGCAAACCATGGAATGCCCTCCCGCACATGTTGTTATATCACCACTGATACAAAGCTTTAAATGGAACTTTGACATATGTTCCGAACTTAGCAGGAGCAATGGGCGATGGAGCTTGTAGGTTTACGCACATTTTCGATTTTTCACTGTAAACTTTCTTGTACATCTGGACCTTTCTGTACGGTTGTCTAAATTATCTAAAATGCACACACCGTGTTTCGTCTTGAGAAAAAGTGTGACTGTTGTGTCCGTCTGCTGCTTGTTGTCATTGTTTCGTTGATTGCACTCATTCGCCTCAATCGCTTTTGGTCAATCGACACGAAACTTTTATATCTTTTGGCCATATTTAACTGGACGTGAATTCATCAAAGCGGCAAGCCTCATTCATTGACTTCGTCTCGGGATTTTACTCAGAACATTCACCATACGGACAACGATGCTGGAGAAGGCTTTATTTTTCGTGAGTCTGTACAATTATTTACCTTTTGTCGTTTTTCGTATACTCTTTTTGCTATCGTTATTTTTCTTGTAAGAGACGCAGCATTCACCACTTAGGGTTAAGTATTTATTATTCATTGTAGTTTTAATTGCTGTTTACACTACAAGCTCACTCCCTGAGACTTACACCAAATTTGTCATAGTATTGGCCCGTTCGAATTATTTCAGCCTAGAAACTTCCTCTGTATACCGCGCCCAATTTTACGTTGAAAATAGGGTACTCAAAGTCCCACGCTTATTTCCTTCAATAAACTAAACTAAACTGAACTGAACTGAGGAGACTAGGCTGACCTTTGCCAAATGGTGTAGGATTTCTCCTGCCTCGTCACATTAATGGTTGCTTCTGCTGTCAGTCCAAAAATATTGTGCTCACATCTGCAGCGAGTAGCCTCATCCGGTTTAGGAATTCTGCCTTGACGAGGACCGTTTCAAATCCTTATACTATATCACATACAGAACGGTTCTGTCCGACTAGTATATTTACCTTTCTATGGGCGACAGCTTTTCCCCGCCAAAAACTATTTCGATCACGTTCATTTTATCGTCTTAAAAATTAGGGGGTTTATCTCACTGTTCGCTAACCGTTCCTCCCATCAGACCGCCAATTATTTAAACACGAACCGAACATTTTATGGTGTTTGCCTGCTTGTTCGAAAATTCATGCAATAATGTTCAGCTCAGTTCAGTGTATTGAGGGAAATAGGCGTAAGCCTTTGAGTGCCCTATTTGCAACGTAAAAATGTGTTGTGCACAGAAGAAGTTTCTGGGTTGAAATAGTTCAAACGAGCCCTCAATGGTAGGACAAAATGGGAGAAAGTCACAGAAGCTGAGCTCGATCTCTCATCGCTTTTGGTCATTTCGAAACATAAATAAGTCGAGGTTCTTTTTAAAGCTTTGTAGAGATGGGGAAATCCCAACATCAGCAGGAAGGGCATTCCATGATTTGACCACTCGAACAGAGAAGGAGAACTTAAGCACATCCAGCCTTGCCTGCCGAGTGCGCAGTTTTAACGGGTAACCTCAGATATTGGTCGTTCTAGCAAATTTGAAAAATTCCATGAAGGCCAGACTACAATCCAACCCCTTTACAATACGCAATGTTTGCAACAGATCCCTGAAACGTTGCCTGTAACTCAAAGGGATGAGGTTCAGATTTACTAGGCGGGTTGCATAAGGAAAGGAGTTTTGACCCCTAATCATCTTCGTGGCTCTCCTCTGAACTCTTTCGAGGCAGTTTTGATCCTCAACCGTCCACGGCCTCCAGGCTTGTATGTCGTACTCCAAGTGAGGCCGGACGAATGTTCCAAAAATCTTAAAGAAAGCATATTCGTCAAAATCCATAAATGCACGCTTGATGGCGTACAGTGGGACAATGGGTTTTTTCACTCTCGAAAAATGAAGTGATTGTTTTGTGGAGCTCGTCGTCAGCACACCGAGGTCCTTTTGAGCTTAGACTTCTTTTTAATGCTGCACTGCCTAGAAAACAGTCTCCTTTGCCGGCGGATCTGGCTGTGTTGTTTAGGCGAAGCATGCTACACTTACCAACGTTGAACCGCAGGAGCCAGCGGTTTGACCGCGCTTCCAACCGATTTAGGTTCATCTGCAGTCTGTCTTCGTCGGCAGGACTCGGAATGCCACTCTATTTCTTCATTTCATCGGCAAACCTTATTGTTTCACAGTCTAGAGCTCTTGCGGCATCGTCCACGTACACAAGGAACATAAGGGGTCCCAGTACTGAACCCTGGAGGACTCCACTCTCGACGAAAGTGGGATCTGATTTCCCTTGATCGATGCACTCAACCTGGTGTCGACCCACAAGGGAGTTTACGATCCATTTATGGAAGTTGCCGCTGATCACTATTTTTTCAGTTTGTGTAACAGTCTCTGGTGTGGCACAGTGTCGAACGCCTTCTGGAAGTCAATTAAGGCTATGTGGACCGCGCGCCTGTTTTCGAGAGCTCGGGTCCAGCTGTGGAGAGATTGCAGCAAGTTTGTCGTGCAGGGTCTTCCTTTCCGGAACCCATGTTGGTAGTTCGATAGCAGACCGTGGGCTTCCAGAAAATGCATCAGTTCACTCTTCATGACCTTTCGCATAACCATATTATATATATCATATATATAGTTTGTCGTCGATGCTCTGCTGCCTCCTTTGTATAGCGGAGTAATATGTACCAACTTTTAATCAATATGAAGTGTTTCAGCGTCAAATGACGTTTGAAAGAGCATGGAAAAAGGCACAGATCGCTCACTAGTAAGTCCCTTGAGAAGCTTGGGTGGAATGTCGTCTGGTCCTGGCGACTTCATTTCGTTCCATGCCTTTAATTTTCTTCAGATAATGCCTTCTAAGAAGAGTATATCATTGATTTTTGGGTTCGGCAGTTCTTCTGTGGAGGGAGGAAGGAACCTTGCTCGTTTGTTTAGTCTCATTGGAAGAACTATGAAAAAATGCGCAGCTCTATCCCTACTATCATCAATCTCAACGCAATCAGTAGTCCTTATTAAGGGGGTTTGATGCCTGTTCCTTGTACTTCGTCGGAGGTAACTGTAGAGCAATTTTTGGTTCTGCGTTGCTTTTTGTAGCAAGTTATTCTTGAATTCCCTCCGCGTCTTTATTATCAGGTTCCTCAGTTTGTTCCTCTGTGTCTTGTAGGTGTTGAAAAATTCAACTTGCCTAGTGACGCATTATTTTCTCCACAATTTGTGCTTCCTGTTGACTTCTTTCTCAAGGTTGCCATTTAGCCATCCTGGGCGTTTGTCCAGTCTTACACTGGTCAGTGGGTAGGGGTTGCTGATGAGCTGCAGAAAAACAGTATTGAACAACTCGCAGTCAGCGTTGGCATTACGTGTAAACAATGACCTACAGTGGAGACCGGATAAGTCTGTCCCAATCTGATTAAAGTCGCCCAACCAAACATTCCGTGTTTTTTCGTCTAGAGTAGGAGAAATGGAGAATAACGAATAATACCACATAAACACTACATGGTCATATCGGGCAAGGGGCGGCATGGAGATGACCTCATCTATGATGCCTGGTGTTTTCGTAAAACTAGTTACAGGCAGTTTGCCCTTTGTCCTTCAGGTATTCTCGCTGAAAACATTAAATGTTGTGTGAGGAACGCCTTTTGTGTTTTGTTCAGCAGACGGTAAGCGAATGTCGATTTTTTACCTGGTGCTTGGAGGGGGTTCCAGTTTGTTCCTGGTCCGTTGAAGTCGACCATGATCATGATGTCAGATCGACTGGAAATTTTCTCCAGCTGCTCCAATAGTTGAGTATCGACGATTTGGTCTGTCCTAGGTGGTCGGTAGACAGTGAGGACATCGAGACTAGGGGAACCAGTAGCCTTTATGGTCACCAAATAGCTTCCGTGCTGCACGCAAACGTGGTAGTGTTTTCTGACAGTGTCGGGCCTTCATTTACATACACAACTATACCACCTCCCTGACGATGTTCCCTGTCCCTCCGATAAATTTGGTATCCAGGCAAGGCTACTTCACTATCGCTAGTATTTCCGGACAGCCAGGTCTCTGTTTCTGCTAAATCATCTGGAGACAGTTCGACAAGGCAAAGTTTTAGCTCGTCTAGTTTCAATACGAAACTTTGGTCGTTTGTATGCAAGCACCTCGATTTCGCACCAGCCGCATTTCCGGTTGCATTTTTCCCTGTTATGATCGTTAGTGCGTTATCTTGGACGCCATTTTCTCTGGGCTCTTCCGTTATTAAATGTGTGCCATTAATGTCCGTCGCTTCAGTCAAAACACTTGAAGTTAAGGACTTACTTGTGTTGTCGCCCCTAGTGGCTGGTTTCACAAAGGCGTCTGTGTTAGCTGAGTAGCTGCCGTCGTTCTTAGTAGTACTGGCCAGTTCCACTGAAACGGCATATTTTTCCGAACTCCTTTCCCCTCGAAGATAGCCAGATTGTGTTTGTCCCCCCCAGTCTCGATTTTAACTCCGAGACGAGTTCACGGCGTTTCAGCCGTTCCGCTGGTGAGAAGTCCAGTTGAGAAAACCTGTTTGTGTTTGTTTATGCAGTCGGTTTTTGGCGAGGATCAACTTGATTTGCTCTTCGTTCTACAGCATAATTTTGAGAGGACGAGATGGTTGTGCTGATGCCCTGTTTTCACTCCTTTTTCCTATCCGGAATGCTTTCAAAACCTTTATTTCCATGTCTGCCTGGAGTAAGTGGTTTAGTAGACCATGAAAAGAAGGTAGATCCCCCGAGATACGGTTTTCAAGTATGACTGCATTTGATCCCGACAAGCCCTGAATAACCAGACACTGTTGGCGGTCACTGTCCGTCCTACTTTATCTTTCCGGTGAATTCTCTGCATGTGGGCGAGGACAATTAACGGAGTCGTCACTTGGACGCACACGTTTGCTGTCTACTGACTGTCTCAAGCAACCCGTCAGGGCTGGTTGTTACTTCAGACTCCAGTTATGGCGTTTAGCTATCTCCCCTACCCACGGGTTCCTGTCTTCACATTCAAATACGTGCGGTCGGGGTGGTTGCCAGAACAAGAGGAAACAGTAGACTGGATGATCTAGTTATATCGTCTCTTGGCAAAAGGGAAATCGCGTCACTTGCAACAAGAGTTGGCTTCCGCGCTAGGTAATTTTTTGTGACATAGCTTAGGTCTTCTTGCGTGGAAATTGAGTCTGCCCTTATCGGTAGCTTTGTTTTAGTTGTCCTACTATTACCGGCATCCGCGGTTGCAGAAACTGAGTTACAACCCGTGTCTGAATATACCACGAGACGATATTCTTCCGCCCATTTTTGCTTTTTGTTCTTCGTTTTTTGAACTCAAACATTGGAGACATTCTGATGATCGAGTTTCTGTTGCAGGAGCGTCCTTAAATCAGCAAGCTTCTTCTGGAGTTGTTCCGCTTCGATTTGGATATATGCGCACCAATTACAAGGTTCGTCTTCGTACCTCACATTTTGCTTACCATGTAGTACCCTTATGGGTGTTAAATAAAGTAATTTATTAATTTATCTTATTTTTATTCTGCATAAACTGATAAGAAATAGCTCTCTCAATAATGGCCACGTTTAAAGTGGACTCCACCTTCGGCACAATTTAAATAATTCGGATTTCTGAGGATAACAACCACTGATAAGCAAATGAAGCTAGCTAACTATTTTCTGGGTTTTACCGTGTTTTTCGAGGCCCATTACCATCGTTTTATAGAGCCAAAATGTTTCTGTATCGCATCTACGATGCCATTCTTAGTTAGAATTTACAACAGAGTCGACCATATCGTTCAAATGAATAAATAAAACCAAAAGACACTTTTCCTCCTCCTCGACTCGTCCTATAAACTGCACATGTTCACGTCAAGCTTGTCAGTTAGTTCTGGGGAATATCCGAGTTTTCGTGCGTGGTCTTTAACTGCTTATTGCTTCGCTAGCGCATTCGTTCCCTCTCTGCATCGGTGCAAGTGGTGATGACTTTCTTTGCGTGCCGCGCGCTTCTTGCGTTTATTTGAAATCGATTGTTGCACATATGAGCTTACATACGCGTATAGGTAACTAAAAAACAACCCTAAGCATTTTTTTGTTTATCTAAGAAGATCTAGGCTCAGTGATGTCATTTCTGACCTAGCAGAGCAGACTGATAGCTAAACCCCAACATAGCACTGGCACCTGTCGTTGCGCACATTTCTAGCGTCGTCACACACGAGTGCGTACAAGTTATTTAATAAGAAACGAGAATTGGAATAGGGAATATGCACAGAACTGCACACATCTAAGTTTGTCACCGACAGCAATCACAGCTACGTCGGGTGTCTCTGTCGAAGGCCTCGCTGCCCCAAGATCATTCACCCCTTGCAGCGAGACGTTGCAGACGCGCTGACCTGAAGCCACTCAACTGACTGTAGCTCGGATACACCTGCGTTCACACAGTTGCAGTTGTCCATGCGGCCGCTTGAACGCACCTCCTCCATTCAATCACAACACAAGCCACTTGAATACCGCCCCGACTCAGCCAGTGGTCACTGCCTCCCGAGAGAACGACTCAGGTTCCCGTGTATATTAAACCCCTTATTCTGATGATTTCTGTATTCCTCTTACTAGTTGGGATTTGACCCGATAACTGTAGCACTTTGAGTACACTCACCACTTAGACGCTATAGATTACAGGTTAACTACCCAGTAATTGACTTGTGTCTTCTATCAAGGCAAATCGTTGCAGGACAATAAAGTGCTATTCCGGAATCTACAGGAGTACAGATTTATCTGAAACTTTGGATAATTCCAAATATTTACGCTTCTAGATAAGTCAGTCAGTTTAAGTCAGTTTATTAAGGGAATGAGGCTTTCGCCCTTGAGCACCCTATTCATGTCGATAAACAGAAATAAAGTCATCAATTACATCAGCAAATGCGAAAAGTTAAGAAGTTAGCGGTAAGTGTGAGCCAGGCGCAAACTGCCGCCGCTAAAACAATCATGATTGTATGTACAGTAGGTTCTCAACAAGTGAGCGTCTAGTCTGCACTTAAAGGATTTAACACTTTCGGAAAGAACGACGGCATCAGGGAGTCCATTCCATGCCCCGATGACCCTGTGTGAGAAGGCGTTCCGTCGGACGTCCGAATTAGCCCGCTTCCTTTGCAGTTTGAACGGATGACCACGCAGACGGTCAGTCCGGGCCAATTCAAAGAATTCATCAAAATCTAGGGCACACTCTCGGCTTCTGACAATCCTGTAGGTTTGAATGAGATCGCCGCGCAGTTGCCAGTTGACTAAATTTACCCACCAAGCATACAAGGAGCGAAGAGTGTCCTATGACAGGATACAGTAGTCAGTCTAAGACGTATGGTTCGCGTTCCAGCAGTGGACCTGAATTTTGGTGCCTGTTTAAGGTATGGCAGACGAGTCACACTACGCAACATCTATAGAGGCCAAATAATTCTACCTTGAACTGCTTAATCAAAGTCGATAGACTGACTAGGTCGTCCTTGTAACCATTGGAAAGTGGTCATCCATTTAAATAGGCTCAGGACGACGACATGCGTGACAATTACTTGAACGAAGTCTTATCTCTTCAGACTAAACTTTTTGGTCACACTTTTGACATTAAAGCAGGAGTATGCATCGTTATCAACACAATGTAAAACCGTGCCAAAACAAACTCGTGGAATTTCAAGTAAACGAACGTAATGACGAAATTTATAAGGCAAAGGTGAATAGATAAAGTGATCAGTATATTCCTGAAACGTCCCTCGATCTTCTAATCCTTTTGTTTTCCTGCTTTAGTTTTTTTATCGCAAAGAGCTGTTAATTTTAATGTATATATGAGTTTGCATATGTATCATATGATACAAATTTGCACCATAACTGAAGGTATGATATGTTGCTTAAGTCACATATCTGATAATAAGACCATGAAATTACTTTTCTGGCCTTCCTTGGATTTTCTGATTACGGAAGCCACCAGATGTAGACTTTCCTCGCATATGCCTGCGACACAACAATTGTCTAGATATAAGAAAACGCCAATGTTCACCAAAAGTAGCTGCTTTTCTCCTTAACCTACATTTGAAACGACTCTTAATTTAGAGGAATGCTGTTCGTGTCTTCTACTAACCTAATGCTCAAAAATAATGGCAGCTCAATGATTTCTTATCAGTTGCTTAGGTTTCAGTCCTAAGGTTGTAAACTGTGCGTCGCTACTCTGTGTGGTTGGCTTAATCTGGCATTAAAAGCAGGAAAACGGAAACACTGGCTGAAATGCGCGTTCGTAGCCCAGCCTTTCGAGGTTTCTACCGTGTCCTTTATTACTCAGTCCTGTGATTTCATTCTCGAGGCAAAAGTCAAAATTACAGCTAGCTAGCTCCGAAGTAACTTATACGGTTATATGTTCAGTCAAATCCCTAGAGATATTGAGCTGATGGGGAAGAGATACCCAGTGGGACACTACAGAAGAAGAAAATATATTTTATCCTACAATTATGTAGAGAATTATTGAAGTGTCAGGAAAGTAGAAGATCGGGGGTAGAAAGCATACGCAACTTCATTTGTAAGACGTAGTCATCAAGAAGTAAAAGCATGGCTTTTCAAAACGCGAGGCTATGATGTTCGGTCACTTTGAATAACAGTTTGAAAGCTGGGTGTGTAAAATATAATATATGTGGTCCTAAAATTAAAAGCTAAGGATCCATTGAAGTGACCGGAATGTGTATCGAGCAGTGAGAACGCACCATGGTGCCATAAAAACCGCGATTCCTGCTACTGGGAGAATAGCGTTTTCAGACTATGCCAATATAAAATCAGGGTAAACGGCAAGATCATAAACCAATTCACAGATTATTTCTAATAAGACCCTAACGAATAAGTGACCAGAAGGCGGTTCCTGGGTATTAAGAAGTAAAATAAAGTGAAAAGGTTGGGGAGTGGATGACAAACGGGACGGCGCGCGGCGGGAAAGGAGCGCAAACATCTCACGACATGTCAGACGCCTGCTAGAACATCGAAGAAAGTGCAGGAAATGTTTATCTTCTGTAAGATACAGGGGAGTGGAAGACGCTTGTTGCTTTGTCTGATCTGCTTAAAAAATTTAGAGTGAAAAATCTACCATACGGACACAGAGTTTTTGCGCTAAGTTAAACTCTTTCCGAATAAAAGCCTTTCCAAAGTATGTTCCATGTGACTGTTGTTCATACGCTTTAGAGTGACATATAGTGTGGATTGATAACGCGCTGTGCAAATGCGGCTTATACAGCTCGTGAGTTTACAAGAAATCTCCGCAACTTGAAAGGATGTTCGCCAGCTTGTTTTATGCGGTTGCGTTGAACAATATATTCAGGAGAGGGTCGTATGTCATGTTGGCAACATTTTGCGTATAGACGGGCTTTTGTGCGGTGTCACCTGTGTCAGAGTGTGTGTCACTGAACTTGTCAACATTCTGCAGATGATCGATTTTCGAATGAAGTAAAGTGTTAAAAGTGAAAATTTCCCCAAACTCCAGTGTCATGAGAAAAGTATTAAGGCTACATTCATAGGGGATTTTCTAGAACTGAAACAACAAATCGTATGCTTAGGAGAATAAAAAGAAACTTATATTTTGTTGACTCCGTTAGGACGACAACAGTCCTGTTATATAGTTATTCTGCGGAATCGGTACATGGAGTTGAGTAGTTCCCTAAAGCAGCGCGTAGATGCTTACCAAATTCGAAAGCTGGGTTATCTACTCGAAATTATTTACAAAAATTTTCTAATAGGTCCTGCAGTTAAATCACATCATATCGTAATCATTAAAATTCCATGCCTGAATACAAGTATGTGGTAGAATGACATTACCACCAAAGACAACTGAGAACGAAATAGCCAGCTCTGGCGGAGCTCTAAATTGAACCCGAGTACGAGTGCGTTTTGTAACGCGATCGGTGGGCGCTCCTTTCCATAAATATGTGGTCTCATGCATAAACTGAAGCTTGATTGATTTGTCCTGGAAAAATTTTTCTCACAAGAAATTTAGACTGTGACAACAAGTCTGGTAATACTGTTAATTAGTGCTCCTTATGTAATTTGGTGTTAAAACGTTACTGTATCGAAAAAGCGTTCACATCAAGACTTATTTCGGATTTTAAAAGCTGGCGTGTTAAGTAGATGACCGAACGTAGGCTGTCCAAAAATTATGCGCTTAGAGCGAACCGAGTGTATTTAAATGTTCCTAGGAAATTCAATGACCTGATAGATAACCACCTGTTAAATTCGTCCGTAGTTTTGTTTTGCTCTGCAGACTCTGAAGATCAGATAAATTACTTCTGAAAAGAGAGTTTTGGGAGTGTGAATAGTATATAGCCTCAGTGGTATTGCCATAAACGAAATCCTCTTTTGTAAAGCTCCAGTCAGAAACAACTGTGTTGGACACACACAGCATTCCTAGACAAGTTCCACATCAAAGGGTTAAAGCCGTACGTTGTTGGGCGGTTTATACTATAACAGTTCATTAGATTAAGTGTGAACAAGAGTGTATTAACAAGAGGAACGACCATATCCTCCTTCAGCGGATGACACTTCTCAAAAACGAGTACGGTGAGACATACAAAAATACGCACCACTCCAGTGGGTAAGTTGTTACAAAATTTGACTAAAATTGACCTTAAAGCCTGACCTATGAAAAGAAGCGGCAGGAGTTGCTGAACATTTGCAAAGACAACGCTACTGTCATGAAAACGATAACGGATATAAAGCCGTACGTGTGCAGGGCGAAACAAGAGGCGGATTTTGACTTTCATAAAACACTATTGAATAACATGTCGAGGTATCCAGAAGACTGGTGGAAATCCATGCGTAAGCATATTCTCTTATAGATTTTTTAATTTTTTTTGTTTCACCTGGAAAAAGACTTTGAGGTTGCGATATAAATGTATGAGAATACTCTTAGTAACTATTTACCCAATGTAACTTCCAGTGGGATACGCGAAACCCGTTGGCTGCAAGCGAGCTTATTTTCTATAAAGTGCGTGTACAATGACTAAAGAGTGACACCTGGCATTTTTAAAAGTGCAAATCTCATTTACACGGTGAAAGATTTGAGGCCAGAAATATGTATATTCGTAAGTGTGCATGAACTGGTACTTTGAGCAAATTCTTAAGCACTCAGGTTTCAAAAAGCCAAAATAAATGGATGTTTTCCTAACCTGTCTTCTCTTAACCCTCTTTTAGATTAACCTGTCCGAACTTTGAGTCCACGGCAATGCAGAGCGCTGACTCTTCAGCGAACCTACCTGACACTGTTGGAATCGTCTGCCCCTCCACCCAGAATTAATTTTTTTATCGCAAAAACTATTGCTATTAAACTTGTCCGAAAAAAACTGTGACTTTTTATGCCCCTACTTCGTCCCCGTATTTTCTTTTCGGAATTCACACTGCTCCCATGTTTACACTCATTTTATATCATTTAAAATGACATTGTCGATAGGTTGCAATGACTTCTCCAACTGCTTTTGGACACCTGAATACGACTACAGTGGCTGAAAGCCTTTCCAATCTCGTGAACAACGAGGACCTCTGCAAAAGGATTGGTTCGAAGTCAGTGTCTGTTTTCGCATAGCAGTTTTCCATCCAGTAATTTAATAGCCGTCCTCTCAACGTGAGAGATAGGAGCGCTGCTGATATCTTGCGCAGCTAAAATATCTGTAAAGTCAAAAATCGGGTTATAGACACTTGATGGACAAACGAGCGCTGTCACGGTGTCATTTTGGGAGCACTTACCAATTAGGTTAGACAGCCTGGGGGCTAAAGAGTATGAACTACTGTAACGCAGGTCGCTTGACCAATAAATGACTGATATATTATGGGACGTAATCTAAAGGTCGGAGTTATCATTAAGCCTCAAGCAGAGTCCGGGAGGGAAAGGACTCATCGCATTAGACCAATTAAAAATAAATACATGATCTCATACTCACAAATGCAGACTCTTGGAGAAGTCCCCTGCGAGAAACGCTTCCTACAGATGCAAGGCGAAAGTGCGCAGGATCATTTAACGAGTTGTCACTGTGTATGCATCCTGATATTTGTATTATTGGGTACGAGCTAGAGAAAACTGGTTTCTGGTTACAAATCTCCGGCACGGAAACCCCTAAAAGGGTGTCAACTAGTTGATAAAGGAACGCTGACCACAGCATGAAGGTAAGGATGTTCCGTGAGGGTCGACACTTCGAAGCATCCGCGGCCTTTAGTGTTGGAATGCCTGCTTAAACATGCGCGCAAATTTCTGGCACTGATGTATAAAAAGTAGGGTATTTTAGAGGAAATCTTTAAATTACTTGGAGAAACTGATTCGCGGACCTACTCATGTTGCTCTAAGCAACAGCAGATGCAAAATTTATTCGGTAAAAGCCCCAAAAAGGTGATTTGGTCTTTCAAAAAAATCTCTAGAGCTAATTCCCATAAAGCCCACAACTTCCTAAAAGTTCGACCATTTAATCGAAGACATCGGAAGAAGGACCAAGCTCGGGACGGGACCCCAGGAGCACCCACAGCTGAGTCTTGGGTTTACTGGCAGTCATAATGCATGCCTTTATTTTCTAAAAGCTCCCAGATACCCCCCCTTTACGAATAAGTTAATAGTTGGAGGGATTCTGTTTTATCCTTTAAATGAAAACTAGGCGGAATATTAAGTGTCGAACGGGTACCTCTTTTCAAGGACGCGAAAGATGCAAACAAGACGTGGCGCCAGAACTTCATAACTACCTTTTCGAATTCCTGCTTGCTTGTTCGCTAGGGCATATGAATTGATTGAAGAATTCACGACTTATCTCAACGGTTACTTGGCAGTATTTTTAAAGGGCAAGACCAAATTTCTTACGTTTCGTATTTTCATCTTCTCTTTCCATTTTGCATAACTGGCAAAGGTTTTGAAAGCGAGTAACATGGGTTAATTTGTCAGCATTTATTATTTTATTTTTTTTCCTTCCTCACCTTGATTGCACTATTGCGTCCGGAATTCGACTCGGATACGGGGGAAGTTGAAGTTACAAGCGAGGTGCTTGTTCACCAGTTTTTAGGCGCAAATCCATCAGCCTGCTGATCTGAGTAGTCAAACTTCGAATATGTCGTTGGGATATCATAAACAGATAACCACCCGACAAAGCGCAGGCTAACCAAACCAACATTAGTAAGGCTAGGTTGACAGAAAGAGGGAAGATTGTGACACCTGCTGTCTTTGACTCAATCATGCCTTTAATTAGCCAACCACATCCTAGACCAACATGTATATCAAAAACGTTAAAGCATGCGAAAATGACAGTTCGACCATCATCAATTAGACCGCATTCGTAGATCGATTAAGCGGTCAGTTTATGCTGTATCACCGACCGTGAGTTGATAGAGGATATGATCTGTTAAATGGAGGTATGAATAGCAGCTGTCTCATTTTCTCGTGTACTCTGCGGCCTATTTCTGGTGAGCTTAGAATTACTTCTTCAAGCATGTAACTGACAGAGATACGCAGATTACCTGTAGTGCAATAATACTAAATATATTCCCACTTAACAAGACGAGAAAATGTCTCTTTCCTCACTACACATGCACTTCCGCCATAAAATCCAAAGTATCGCCGGAAATAGTGAAACAGCCCTGATTGTGCATGCTAACGAAACGTATTTTCTGTTAATTCCCATTATAGCGAATTTCAAGAAGACGTCCAGGGCTTTGTTTCCTCAGTCATCCAGTCATCCTTGTACCGCG